GGAAAGAGAATTGAGCAATATCAATTATCTAAGAGAGGTAGCGAGAAGAGAGATGGAGGACATGAAGATGGAAAGACTTAGGATAGAGAAAGAAAAGGTAGAAGTTGATTCTAGTAAAAAGCATCTTGAAGAGCAACAGGTTGAAATCCGAAAAGATGTGGATGACCTCGTTGCTTTAACCAAGAAACTGAAGGAACAGAGGGAACTATTCATTAATGAGAGGAATCGTTTTCTTTCATTTGTTGAAAATCATAAGAACTGCAAGCAATGTGGGGAAGTTTTGTTTGAACCTGTGCTTCCAGACTTCGATAGTTTGATCCCCAATTTATCAAGATTGGACAACAATCCTGACAGTGAAGCACCCAGTCAAAAAATGAGGGATGTATCCCCTGCTCTTACCGGCTCAGGATCTCCAGACCCTGGTGGGTCAGTGTCATGGTTCCAGAGATGTACTTCAAAGATACTGAAATTGTCACCGATTAAAAGGATGGAACTATCTGCTACCCAGAATTTGGCAGATAACGTACCTAAATCTGGTGAGGAAGGTCATATGGAAAGTAGGCCATCAAACTTTACTCAGGCAGTGGCGGTCCAATCTGATACTGGCGTGAGAAAAGTTGAAGTGACTAATGATCACTCAGACAATAATCATAGCAACATTGACAGTAAGGCTCACGAAGTTGCTGAAGATTCTGTGTCTAATCTTGATGTTGATGGTCAGCAGCCTCGCAGGAGGGGCAAGGTGAGAGTTAGAAGAACACGCTCTGTCAAGGCTGTTGTCGAAGATGCCAAAGCTATCCTTGGAAAATCTCTGGAATTTAAAGAGCCCGAGGATTCAAATGCTAATTGTGAGGACTCTGAAAAAGCAAATGATGAGTGCAGGAGTGGACATGGTCAGATTAATAGAGGAACTTCAAGGAATGGCCGAAAACGGACCCATACTGATTCGCTAAAAGCTTGTACTAGTGAGCAGGACGGTGACGAGAGTGATGTGAAGTCTGATAGTGTCACAGCAGGAGCAGTTCAGCATGGAAAGAGGCGGCAAAAGGTTGTCACAGAACCACAAGGTGTGGGTGAGCAACGATATAATCTCAGGAGACCTCGAAGGTGAGTGTACTTTTCATAAACCATCTGATACTAAATTTTTCGTTGGGTTTCTTGCTGGAAACACATTTTTCCAAGGAGGTTATTAGCAGAGGCTCCTCTTTTCCCCCTCAGAAACCAAAACTGGAAAAACTCAGCCTAAAACCTATCCATACTCCTTATTTTTCCTAAATTGCTGCTGGTGAATACAAATTTACGCCTATGACTATTTTATGTACTAAACTCTAGTTGATCTTTTGTATTATTTAACCAGAAAAGAAAAAGGATAGATTTGGGTCTTGAAGTCTATCAAAACCCACACGACTGCCTTTATTGGGAATTTGATGTCTAAGGGCCCTGTTAATTCATTCTCTGGCTAAGGAGTGTGACCCCTTAAACTATATTTGTACGTGGGAAGATAAGTTTCCTGTTTCTTATAGGGAATGATGGGGAAACGTTGTTTCAAATGTAATAGAAAACTAAGCATACTAAATTCATTTCATGATGGGTAGGTAATTTGTAGTTATTCTATGGAGGTCTCAGAATTTAGGCAATTCATAATACTTTCTCCCGAATGGTTGTCAGGGGAGCTGGAGGAAACAATCCGAGCAAGGAGAATGAAGAGACTAGTGACATCAGAAGGGACAAAGACATATTCTGTGCACAAACCTCTGCCTCAGCGTCAATAGGAGTTGCTGTTAGTGAGAATGGAGGAAGCACAAGCCTGGTGCGGGTATGGCAATGACCAGATTTTTTTCTCTCTCTCTGGGCTATGCTTAGTCAATGTGGTTGTGTCGATTGCTTACATTACTAGAACGAACCATTCTTCCATCCTTTGTGAATCTTTGGGATTACAATTCTTGTGAATTGAAACCCTGTTGTCTGAATGATTGGTTTATATAGCGAGAAGAGGTGGCAAACTCTCAGGAAACAGATGCTGGTTCGCCTAAAAGAATGGAGGTTGGGGTTGAAGAAGTGAACGAGACACCTGAAAGGGTCGGCGAAGAAGGAGAGGAGGAAGACGAAGAAGAAGAAGAAGAGACTGGGCAGCATCCTGGTGAAGTGTCCATAGGAAAGAAGCTGTGGACTTTCTTGACGACGTGACATTGATGTTTAGTTTGGTAGATGCAGAAGAACCCATCATCATCTCTTTCTGATTTATGACAAGAACTGTTTCTTGTAATCTCTTAGTTAGTTTTGTCTTAGGAGGGTGTGCTGAGTTGTTCTATTTGTGTATCATCAGATTCAGATTGAAGAAGATTTGGTGCAATTTCTGCTTCTGCAGGTACCGGAGGGTTTGTGTGTTGTACGGTGTGGTGTGGTGGGGTGTGAATCTTGGTTCTTCTGAATTCTTTTTTATCCTTTCTTTCCATAGATTTATTATTTGCATGTAAGACCACACAGTGGATGTGGTTTTTTTTTTGTTCTTTCCTACAAACTAATATGATTTGCTTTTTAAATCCTACCAATTCCTCTGCCCTTTTTTTTTTTACCAATATTCATCCAATTTTTTTTCTTCTCCTCCATATATGTATATAATAGAGAGATACATGTCTATATATATATATATATATGTATTTGTATATGTATATGTATGTGGATATATATTTGTGCTATGTACATGTATATATGAACGTAAATATATAATTTTATTTACCAGAATAATTTTTTTAAATTATAATGATGTGAATTAAAAAAAAATTATATGATAGATTTTTACAATGTAATGATAGACAGTTTTGAAATTTTCAATCAATTTTTATATATTTTTTAAAATTCTAAAAAACGCAATCATGTTTAAGATTAGATAAATCAAAATATTAAAAAAAAACAAGTACTTAGTTTAATTATTAATTTGTGTTGCTCAGTGATGGGCCTGAAATATAATAATGGGTCTAAATCGTATAAATAGTATGGGCTTTTGTGAATAAAAAATAAAATAAATAAAAAGGTGTATCGGGTGAGACAGAGACGGCTTTTTAGGATCCACGCGCTCAGTTTTCAACATTTGGCGAAAACGGCGATTTCGGTGGGTTATATAGCCCAGGGGTTTTTGGTCGGTGAGATCTACGCGTCTCATCTGCGCGTGCGATTTATTTTCAACTTTTTTATTACATGATTTTTACGAACGCGTGCTATAACGCGCAACAATTACCTTTATCTTTTTCCTGAAAATAAGATAAATGATTTTATTACATTAATATAAAGAAACCTATTTTAAGTATTAAAATCTATTAAATTGTGTTCTCCAATAGATTAAAATAAAAAGAACATTTTTAAAAGAACAATATTACGAAATTTATGTGAATGCTAATACTAGAAAAAAATGATACTTTGTGATTTCAAATAGGTGCAAAATAGTCAGTTAAAGATAAACTTATTATATCGGACTAATATGAGGATCTGACTGTTAAATAAACCTGCAAATGCATCAAGATTTTATTTTTAACTTTATTTCTTTTGCTGTTTTTTTTTTTACTTTTGATGATTAATTTGTCTCTCTCCCATAAAAATTTGTATTTATAAAACAAAACGCATTTATTTAACTGCGTTCGTACTATATTTGGTTGAGAAATTACGACAAAAAATTATATAATTTATTATAAATAGATATTTTTTTTTTATTTTTTTATTGACAATTATTTTATTTTGTCGTGAAATATTTTAATTAGAATTATTGATTTTAATTTTTTATTGACGTGAGAATAAATATTATTATGGAAAAAAGTTAGAAAAAACACCAAATGCAAACATCGCCATTTACATTTCAAAATATCGAAAAAAGTTGTAATCCTAATGGTAATATTAATTTTTTAAAATGATCTAGAATATTTATTATTTAAAGTATTTTTAGTTAATAAAAATTTTCATTTTCAAAATCTTTTTATTTTTTGATCTTACTATTGATTAAACTTCACCTATAATATTTAAATGATTGAATAAATTATTTTAACCATTTGAATAGTGTTATGTACGTTTTGCATTTGTACAATAGGAAAACAAGTTTCTTATCTCTACCAATACACCATGTGATTATGTGAAAAAAAAAAAACTCGACCAATACATAGCGTAAATCTAATCGATGAAAAATTTCAATTAAATAGAAGATGCATACAAAAAAATCTACCTTTGCCATGTTTGGTTTCACAACAGCAACAACCCATTTATTCATTTGATTAAATATAAAAATACCACAAAAGAATGTGCCTTCAACATTTAGGCTTTGTACAAAAAAAATTTACTTTGCTTCTCGACCATATAAAAAAAAAGGACAAGAAGAGGAGACATTGGTTGAGTGGTAAATGACATGTCTTCTGATACTTACAGTTAAGAGGACATTCATTCGCCGACAAAAAAATACAAACAAAAAAGCTCTTCTTACTGTGTCTGAATGTTCCCGCTCTCTTTCATATCTCTGCAAAGAGGAGTTTCATCAAAATTATGTAACGTTGCCATGATCTTGCTTTCCAAAAACATGAGATATCTACTTACCCGCAGAATGGTACTCTGCAATTGGAGGGTTCCTCGCAATGGCTTGCGTGCAGCCCAAGTATCAGACACACCTTTATGCAAGGCTGGCAACCTCCTTTTGCCCGGACTTCGCACTTCGATCCATGCCTGAACAACTCTTTCACCGTAATGCACTTGGGGAATGAACAAGTACCATTTGTCGCCTGGCATTGAACGGCATGCCGCAGAGCATTCAGTGTCTCGGTGACCTATAGGATCATCATATTTACACGACAAGTTGCTCAAAGTCAGAGAAACTTTCTGAGGCAGGTGAAAAGAGAAGAAAGAAACGGGTCAAAAGGAATCTGAAAACGAAACAGAAATCTATACTGTGAACTGTTTTCTTACCGAGGCAAGTTTCGGGTCAGCATCTTCGGCCCGTCTCCCGTGGGCTGAAGGGTTTTCAGCTAAGAGATGAATAGCCGACTTGGTAATTCTTTCGCTATAGCATCTCATGCAAACTTTGTACTTCGAGCAAATCAAACAGGGATGGTGAAGCTCGGTTGTAATATCGCCGTTGCAGAGGGTGCAAATGACCTTGGCGGAACCGTTTTGCTGAGATATCATCTGCTCATTTTGACTGTGAAGATGGTACAGTATCATCATTGATGAATACTTGGCCCGTCGAAGCGTGTCAAATTGGTAATTATTCTTCTGACAAAGTTCCAGGAACCCATTTCTGTCTTCAAACACATCACTCTCCAGAATAATGTCCGTATCCTCCGTGGTAGATGGTATATCATTCATCATCACCTGCAAATGTTTAATAGAAATCAACCTATTGAATCAAATGTTTATATATGCAAACATCACAAGATCCAAAGAAGCTGGGTAAGAGAATTCACTTTCGAGAGGAAATGTTTCTCCTTTCCATTTGCAATATGCGTGTCTTCCCCGCTAATCTTTTGCTCTGCATCATGGCATCTGTTTATAATATATGAAAAGGTGTAAAAACATAAGCAACTTCATTTCAAGAGAGATATTGATTAAATTTCCTGCATTCTTATGGAGATGGGATCAAGCGTGAAAGACTTTGACCACGTTGTCAACACATTCATTACAGAGCAGCCTCACTTCTATTCCACATAGTTGTATGACAAATTGCTCGTATTATCTACATGCTTTTATCAGCTGAAAACTAAACCTAAGTTCCTAATAATATACATATTCAATGGCTTGAGAAAGCACAAAAAGCCGATTCAAAGAGTGATGGATGCATACCTTTCACACAATTGAACATTTTTGCACGTTTTACAAAACCAACGCCATCCAGATATTAAGGCCTGAGAGCAATGTGCGCACGAGTAGTGCAGTTGGACCACCATGAATTCCTCCTTAACAGGTAGCATGATTTCATCCAGCTATAGAGGTAGAAAGGACAAGATGTTAGAATGTAAGATCTAAGCAAGTAATAAACATACACAGAAACACGCAAGTTAAGAGGGAATTTTTACCTTCTGCATCACTATAATATCTTTAGCAGCATTTTTAGGAGGAATGTGGTGTCCAAAAGCTCTTAGCCTTCTGTGTGTCACTAATTTGATCTTCTTCTTCAATTCGTCTTTTCCTCCTTTCTCAATTTGTTGGATGAACTTCTCAGCCGTAGAAGACCAGTAAGCTCCATCAAAGTAGGGCAATCGGGAAGCAGTGATCTTGCAAGCGGATTGCTCTGTGAGAACAAAGTATCGCTCGTACAAGTTTGTGACGTTTAGTATCACCCCCTCTTTGGCAGATTTTTTCAGCATTGAGTGATACCTGAGATGTGGAAATTGTATTGTTAATATACAAATAATGAGAAAACATGAGCGATGGGAAGGAGAAGAAGAAGGGGTAGGGGTTAGAGCGAGGCAGACCATTGTCGAAGCTTATCAGCCTTTGGAGTTTTTTGATTCCCTGGATGGCAGTACAAAATATAATCCTCTCCTTTTATAGGTGGAGATGCCCATAAATAGCACGTAGCGAAACCCCGATTCTTAATGTATTTAAGATATGCAAGCTGAGAATGAGAAACAGGAACAGGATAGCATTGTGAATTTCCATATATTAAGTCGACGATCTTCCAATGAAATCAGAATAACAAGGGTCAAGAGAAGATGACAAATAGATTACCAATATTTGGTGATATACGAAAGTCCGGAGAGACTCTCCGGTGGTTGTCACTCTCTCAGGCCTGAAGTACTTGACGGAATCGAGATATGATATGTATACGCAACGTTGGTTGGGTTGGCGGCATTCAGATCCATACTCCTGGACATAGAAACCATAGATGCACACATCCACACCTTCAATCTTCTGAAACAAAAGAATAGCCTGCAAATTTTGAATAAAAAGGGAAACAAAGAAATCAGAACAGGATTCCCTGGAAAATTTCATAACTGCATCACAGAAAACCAAATTGTTGAAGCTGCAAGAATCAGGCACGTCATTTATATGAATAAGGCAAAGCAAACATAAGCAAAGGTATTGATTATGAACTCCTCTAACCTTTGATCTGTACGGAAACTCGGTTGGATACTCTTCGTCGTGAAAGATATCTGCATACTGTTTATTGACTTTCAGATCTTTGTCTACGGATAAAACCACTCTGACAACAAGATCTTCTGGACCTGGAACCTGTTAAGGAAACAAGGTCATCATAAGAAAGACCAAAAGGGCAGCGGATTTCACCACAAAACTGGCACATGCTTTATACCGTTTCATTTTTCAGTTAAAACTATTGAAAAAAAAAAGGTTTTCTCAGCTATTTGAGTGAAGCATGTCAAGAGAAAAATCGGCATCTTACTTCGTCAATGCTCTTCCCGGTCGCCTTTGCAGTCTCTTCTCGTTCTTGACCAAGACTCCTGAAAAGCCTATGTTCTATGTAGTTGCTGAGGTTGGTGCAGGGGAGATCTTTTGCTTCAAATTTCATATCAGACTTCAAATCTGTGCAAACACTCCGTCGTTCCTCTAACAAACAGTTGGGACAGATGTAAGGAGCTTTGCCTTCCGGGTCCATTTTCTCATTGTACAGACCACAAATTTGGTGCTGCCAGCCATTGCATTTATCACACATAACCCACTGCTCCAACACATTGCAAAGTCAGTTAGGTAGATAACACCTACATGATTAAAAATCTCAACAGTTCAAATGAAAAGAGAATCTGTAAAAGGTTACCTTCTCTTCGGTGTCACAATCATTCTTCCTTTTACACAGCTTCGCCTTTGAGATTTTGGCTCCAAGTATTTCGATATCCCCTCGGAGGTTTCTGTGACAATAACTACACAGAAAGTGACTGCTCCTTTCTGCTTCCTCTGAGGCGTAGTAGAAAGCACTTGCTTTGATGCGGCAGCTGCAAGATGCACAATATTTTGGCGGTGGCGAAAACAAAATAACATTTTCACCACACAGCTGACAAGATTCATCCTTCTGAGCAGGCTTTTCTATGTCTCCGTTTCCTTCTCTTGATCGATCCTGCAAAACAAAGAAGAGATCAAACATTGATGCAAAAGAATGATGGCTGAGAAAGAACAAAGAGAAGGAAAGAACTCCGACAAGACGACAGCTATACCTCTAAAATCCATAGAGAGATATGAGAGATGGGAACGAGGAAAAGATACCAAAGAATGGTGGTAGTGAAACTGACCTGACTAGCCCATCGTCTAATACCCGCTAGATGCTCCTTTATTTGTTCTGTAGTTAAACATTCGACCAGTGAAGCAGCTCTCCTCTTCAGCTCTTCCATATTTGTTTGCTTTTCCAAATTTGTCTGCACAACAATAACCTCATTGTCCTTCTCCTCCTCTTGGCATGCTAGATTCTCAGGGATAGCCAAACGAGCATTTGACATAATCGTATCAGGAATTTGAGGGAGATGAGCAGGAGTCTGACAATTCTTCGCAGAATTAGACTTCATTGAATATGCATCTCCTTTGGCGCGTTTGGCACTTCCGTCACCCAAAAGTTCGTCAAAAGTGTGAACCTTTTTAACCGCACCCAAACGAGAATTTCTCATCATTCTAGGGGTGGGCGAGTCACTACTTCCCCTGATAGTGCAAGAGCCGGGACTCTGTCGTAGGGGAGTAAGTTCCCAGGACATGGGAGTAAGAAGATTCGACTGATTCTGTGGAGCTATCAACTGGTTGCTTTGCTGAGGAAGCAGAGCCTGGCCGTAGTTCACTCGTGGAAGACTAAATGAGTTGTAAGGTTCCGCACTCCCATTGAAGTTAGATGGCAAAACAGTGGAATGAGGATTCTGAACATTGCCTGCAGGTTCATATTCATAAATGCCGAATAGAAACCAAGTCAAGAGGACGCATAAAGAAAAGAGAGCAACGTATAAGCATAACAGAGATCTACATCTTCACACAAACTACATATTGCGTACATATCAATCAAACTGAAGAACACTTTTGAACATACCAAATCTATGATGTTGCGGCTGATAAACCCCGCCAACCGAAGCATACCATAAATCACCTCCAAAGAATATCTGCTCACCGCCAAGATTTCCGCCACCAAAACCGGAGGTACTCATCAAATTCTGTTCCTGCGAATATAAACACGATGAGTTTTGCCCATGCTTCCTTTTAAAACGTCACACCTTATGCTTCGTGTAGAAACTGCCATAACTGGAAACGAACACAACAGTGGTCCAGACAATATCGTACCTGTAAAGCCTCATTCCTGTTCTGTACAATCCTCGACAGAACATCAAACCTCTGCTGTCCGCTGTTACCAGTGGGTAACCCGTTGAGTGTAGGAGAACTGCAGGAAAGGCGGCAGGACCAAATACCGAATTAAACGTTAACGCAAATTGTATATCAATACTCCTAACCTATATTTTCTCAAGTAATCGCGAGCTTACAGGTTATTTCTAATCAGAGAAGGATTATATCCGTCAAAAGGAACATGGTTCCCTGTCTGGTTAGCATGCAAATTGTTGTTTGATGCTTCAGGTGTCGGGATCAAGTTATGTCTCTGGTCAATAACTGAATCCCAATACGATCTCTTCGAACCCATCTCTCCGTTCTAAGACGGATTAACAACAGATTGTCTGCACAAATCATGAAAAAAGAATTAGACGCATACACGTAGAAGTACACTCTCAAAGTTCCACCAAAAGATCAAATTAAAATCGATCGAGAGCTCAGACTTGCAACCGACCAACATAATGATTTTACGATACCATTCAGTTTACAGATATGTGCTTGATACAGTGATTTCAAAGTTTAGCTGAAGTTTACTTCTTTTAAAATCATACCAAAACCCTAAATATATTTTTTTTGACAAAAAAAATACTAAAACCCTAAACCCTAACACCAATCCAACACCTTCTACCCCCAAAATTAATTGCTCGAAAGAGACACAACGCCAAGACCCAAAAACCCAACACGATGGATGCCGACAAAAGCACTTCGGTCGCCGGCATTGTCCTGTTCCGGTGATCGATCAAGTAAAACCCTAGAGTCCAACACAAGAAACAGGGTGAAGAAGAAAGAAAAGAAGAACCTTTGTTTATTTCCGTTAGCCTCGTCTTCGTATAGCGAAGTGTGGGCCACCGAAGAGAGAGAAAGAGAGCGCGCGAGAGAGGAGTTGCCTTCTGTATCGATCTTATATTATATGCCTCTCGATCTCCTTTTTGTTTCAGAATTGTGAAATATTTTTTATTTTCTGAATTATATTGTAATTTAAATCACGTATTTTTCGTCTCTCTCCAAATCGAACAATTTCAAATATTCCGAAGGAATCGGAAATTTTATCCAATTGAAATTGATAGATATTTGCAACGGCTTATCGGATAGATATTTATAATATTATCTCTTGAGTTTTAACGTATCTTACCAAATTTTATTTACAAATTAAATTTCACACTGTGAGTTGACTGATTCTTTTTTAACTTCTACTTAATTAACTGAGAAAAAAAAAAAAACTCTCGTCTCATGGATAGAAACTATGGAATGGACAGGTAGTCCAAATTTTGACTTTTCATACGCAGAATATTTAATTATCACATTATATTATGGACCGACTAACAACACTATTTTTCTAAAAATGCGATCAAATGAAAGTTATGTATGTGATTTTGATGAACAGAGTCTATAAATCTTGTCATGGGAAAATGGGCAACGAGAATATTTATGTAAATTCTAACAAATATAATGACCTTTTAATATTTTTATAATTGGAAAACAAAAACAGAAAAACACTTACATCAATAAATTTTTATAGTACATAGATAAATAAATAAATCACTACATTTATCTAATTTTGTATATTACAATATAATTTTAAAACATTTTTACGACAGTAAAATAATCGTATAATATAAATTAAATTAAAAACGAATAAATTAGAAAAACAGAAAACAAATTATTGGTTTTTCAAAAATATAAGATTTATATAGGCTTAAAAATATATAATATTTTAATTGAAATCTTTCTACATTTTATAAAACATTTATAAAAAGCCCATAAACTTTCGAAACTGTTTAACAAGCTATGTAAAATGCAATAAACGGCACCTATCATTACACATAGGAGTATTTGGTTAGTTTTATTATATATACCAAGCTATGTAAAATGTAATATAAATTGCACCTAATATTACACATAGAAGCATTTGGTTAGTTTTGAAATTTAAAAAGAAAATAAAAAGTTAAATCATATTATAACTTAAAAATTAAATTTAAAACCGAAAACTCAACATTCTCCTAACCCAACCTTGTACTGCTGGAAAAGTGCAAAAGCTGAAGGAACAAAAAACTTCATGTTACAACAAGAAAGAAACTGAACCACAACCCTAAACCACCAACTTCTCACATGATGAGCATCTACAATTCTCATTCTCATCTTCTGCCGCTAAATCCATACCTATCTCTATCGTCCCGATCCCACAAATCAGAATCGTATGACGAATAATACCTATTCCCTCTTTCCCCTAGAGACCACTCAAATCCCGGGCTTCTCGGCCTAGAGATGTAATCCGATCTTTCGAAGCCTGGGCTTCTCGGCCTAGAGATGTAATCCGATCTATCGAAACCCGGGCTTTTCGGTCTGGAGATGTAGTCTGATCTTTCAGAGCCCGGGCTTCTTGGTCTGGGGATGTAATCTCTAGAACCGAAATAATCGTAATCATATCTATTGCCATACCTTGGAGGGTAACTTGATGGTTCAACCCTAGAAGGATGACCATCTTCCCTGTAATCCCGAGGTGGGGCTGGCCGGTGGTCATGATGGGCAAGTCCTCTGCTTGTTCTATGTTGCGACCTTGTGTTGCTTCTACGTGAGTCCAGGTCTGAAGCGGGTGCCCAGAGCCGCTCATCGGCTTTTTCTGGGATTGGAGCGTTGATCCCTGGAAACTCAACAGTTTTTTTCTTGGGTGGGTCTCGAGGGCTTGTTTTTTCGAAGATTTCCCCATCCTCGGTCTCTTCTACACGCGTTTCTTCCTCTCCGAATATAGTGATTCCCGATGGATGATCAACATCGTACGCTAAAGACAGCAACAAAAAGCAAAACAATGACAAAAGGATTGTAGCCAGAGTGGCTTTAGTTTCAGAACATTGGTCTGAGAAGACAGAACAGGACTGGTAAAGCACTCCAGAAAGAAAAAAGAACACAGCAGAGAACAGAACAACTCACCTAAGTATCCTGGTGGGTACCCGAGCTCTCTCATGCGGTTAAGCCATGGAGGAGGGTCAAGTTCCTGTGCAAAGCAAAAGCTTAATGAAGATACTCATTGTTCAGGTCTATCATGCGTTCTCCAGAATTACAGCAGTGAACCATTTTGCACGGTAGGAAGTTCAAAAGTTACCGCGAGACCAAGAAGCTGCCGTGTCTCAGCATCAAGACTGCCTGGCTTTAAGCCACCATACTTTCCACTTTGAGAACTCTGATAGTATCGGGATGGTATACGAGATCCAGAAGACAGATTCTTTTTGGCTTTATGCTCCTTTCTGGCATTACTAACGGCTAATCGGTCAAAAGGCTTCGGGCATTCTCTCAAGGAATGACTATAGGATCCACAATTGAAGCAACGTGGAGGATCACCCACTATCACCGGACCTCTAGAAAATTATAGAAGTAATTTTTTATCAGGATCAGCCAACTGTGAACTGATGAGAACACTCCAGATAACTGCCGAGGCACAACTTAGTGAACTATCAGTACCAAATTAATTTTAAACACCCATTACAAGAAAACATAAACTGTTAATTTTTGTACTGAGACTATAACAGATAATAGTCAAACATCAGCAAAGCTTCAATCATGATGTATGTCAATGATTATCCCTTCAGACACTGATTTAAATAAACATCAGAACAAACTAGGAAAAAGTTATAAATTAAATTTTACTTTACCCTTCTAAGTTATTTGAGCCATCCACTGAAGTCAAACCTATAGCAAATCCACGGTCATAAAGAGGGGCAGTGCTACTTTCCATGGGAACAAACCCTTTAAATGGCTTAAGACCAGTTTCGTCATCAATCCAGAAGGACTGCATACACAAGAATGTATCAGTTCAAGTGTCAGTAAAGCTAGTAAATGCATTGGACACTTAATTTTGTATGCACAACAAGATAGATTAAACGCAAAACCCAAAAAAAACTGAAGGAGAAAGAAAAAAGAGAAGGAGAATGCGCTTCCTGAAGGGTAGTAAAAGTCTGAGATTGCAATTGATTGATCTTATAATCAACTCTTGCACACCAAAAGACACATGAGAAAATGAAAAATAAATATGAAGCAGGGATTAGGACCACGTGATCACATTCTAGAAGAGCAGATGTTTTAAAGTTAGAGCAATGCTATAATACCAAGCATACTTATGCATAAACAATTTGAACAATTTAACACTGGCTTCACACATGAGCAAAAGTAGAGATATGGAATGTACTAATGGAGACAAAATTTTAGGTCTTGTAGAGAACTTTTAAGAAGGCACCAAAAAGGTAATGAAAATGTTTCTCGCTCACCACCGACGAGGTCTTCTCAAGTCCAACACGTAAAGCAGGAAAGTATGTCGCTTCACCAGATTCCAATACTTGTTCTTCAACCTGAGCATATCAGTATTTACAATTCAGATATTCCAGCTTCCGCTGTATACCTTACAGTCCTGAAACTGCACCCTACATAGAAGGGTTATTAAAGCAGACCAATCTAAATGATCTCAACTACATGAGATTGTATCATGCATTATTCATAAGCTATTTCTATTCACAAGCACCAATTAAACCCCCTTGAAAATTTCAGAAGGAACACCATCCTTCCACATTGGTGCCTCATGCCCATGGCCTATCAAATAAAATAATGGCAAACATGCCTGCCTAGGGGCCATACTAATTACAACCTAAAGAGCCTAAAGATGGTGCCTAAAGACGGTACAAGTATCTTTCTTTGAACAATTTCTAGAGTCCACCTTTAATATTCTCCAATTTACAAGCTTAGTCGACTTTTGAAAATTGAATAAAGCCATCATTCTATATAAAAACTACAGAAACCATTCTAGGATAAAACAAGACATACCTGAGATGAGGAACTATGTTCTGCCTCCCATTCTGACCATTGTTGTAACAGACTTTCCAGTTTCTGTTTACTAGCCCTGAGAGAAGTCATTGAAGTAGATTAATAACGAGGAATACAGAGAATGACAAAAATGCTAGAACCTTGATATATAGAAGCTTCACAAATATACATCAGTCCAAGGAACTTCAATATAATTATAGTTGAACTCATACTCTTATTCACCAAACCTTGTTAAGTGGTTATAAGTAACATGGACCGTGGGTTGCTCTTCGCCAGAGACAGTGCGGCGTCTTTTAACACCAGATTTCACTGAGATACGGAATTATGGAAACTCAAAAATAATAATGACAGACATTTTGGGTCTACAGATACAACTAACTATGGCAATAGACAATGCCCAATAAACCACAAGAACCATGAATGACCATAATTGCAGCAATCCACTCGGGGCAGTAAACAAGGATACAACTAACATCCAATGTGGTATGCTCAATCAGCCTCCCGTTCTGGATATCCAACATCTTATCTACAACTGCTACAGTTTCAACACTCGCATGGACAGCAGCTGAATCACCGACAGTATCACTAACCTGGCCATACTCAGTTGAGCCAGCTCTAAAATCGTCTTCTGTTAGATCCATGTCTTCCTCCATGTCTAAATGCCTCTCTACCGTCTCTTCATTAACATCTAAAGAATTTGCTTCAGGCGACCCATTACCGGATTTGAGATGATCGTTTTTCTGCCCTTCGGCATCAGAATCAGCTGAAGCTGGGAGGCCAATTACGTCCTCAGTTTCCATGTCCAAAGAAAACAAACTTTATATCTTGTAACAATTTCACCGATCGCCTGCAAGGTAGACTCACACAAGGACAGAGAGCATCATCATTCATCACTAAAACAGTAAACCTTAACCAGAACCAGAGGATATAAATGCAATCCCAGAAGTAGTAAAACAAGACATACAAACATGGAACTCCCGAACCCTAGAAAATAACTGGAAAAAAAACAGTTCAAACAATTTCAAGCTCATCAATTTGAAACAAAAAAGACTACAAATACAATTTCCGCCAACTTCTGAAACACTAGGGTTCAAAATGCAAGAACAGTAAACCACGTCACTTAAAATCAACCTAATTCTCCTCAATTTGAAAACAAAAAAATCCCGAATCAGAAGGAATAGAATTCAGAGAATTTCAGAAATGATGGAAGAGGAAGAGACACGAGGCGCCCGTAATGTTTATCCAATAAAACACCCTCCGTTCAAACCACCGAACAAGAATTTGTTTCCCGGAAGCCAAACAGATAGGAGGAAAGTACCCCAGATAAAAAGAACGAAACTTTGAAGCTTCAAAGACTCAGAGGACGCTTACCTCTTCGAGGAGAAACCGAATGGTTTGATTGTGCAGAAGAACGAGCGAACAAGAAAATAGCGAATAGATCTGTCATCCCTTGGGATTCAAAAGACAGCCATTTATTGGTCCGCCCAAGGGATGATCCGCTGCGACGCGGCGCAGGTAGTTAATACAAAATCGACGCAAAACGGTGCGTTAAGGTATGTAATCTCATTTAAATTATAAAACAAGAGGTTCTATTGTTTTGATATTAAATCATAAAAGAATGTTAGCGGGGATAGCTCAGTTGGGAGAGCGTCAGACTGAAGATCTGAAGGTCGCGTGTTCGATCCACGCTCACCGCATTTAAACTCTCTGCTTTTATAATTTCTTTTTTTTTTCTATTGGCCTACATTCTACAAACTATAATTAGAGAAATACAAAGCCCATTGTTATAGAAATACCAGGCCCAAATATAAACGATAATGGGCTTTCCTTCTTTCTTTGTTTCCCTGTATTTTTTTTTGGGCCACATGTGAGATAAAAATTCCACATCTATTTGGAATTTTGGATCCCATAAAGATTTGGAAAAACTTTGAAAATCTAACCATTGGGAAAAAATATACTGAGATATAAATTACATAAAGATTATTCTTAATATAGATTCAAACAAAATTTAGTTTGAAAAAAACTTTAATTGTATGATCCAAAATACAATATTATATGGTGGAAAATAATATATACTATATTAAATGGATCAGATATTTATAGAATCAACCATATTCAAACATCACACAATAATCATTGATACATATAATATATATATATATATATATATATAACTTTGGACTCCGTTGATGCTTTCTGAAAAGTAGGGGCATTAATGCAAGATTTAAGAAAGGTTGGGTTCAATCGACGAGTCTCGAAGATTTTATGTGGGATCCACCTAAGCAACGTGAGATCATGCAGCTCTCTAAGGTATTAGGGGTGGGCACGGGTCGGATACCCGGGAAAATCGAGAGATTTGGATTCGGATCCGGGAGGCTCGGGTATTTAACTATGAGATTTGTATCCGGGATTTGGTATTTACGAGTATCCGGGGTACGGGTATCCGGAATAATAGTCGGGTACTCGCGGATATCCGGATCCGGATTTATTTAAGAAAAACAACAATATTCATATATAAAATTTTTAAAACATGAAGATATATTTATAAAAATTGATGAATTATGATAAAATATATAAGACAAAAGAGATAATAAGAGACAAATAATAATAAATTTAATTTTTTTGAATTAATATTAAAAAAATATGAAATTATTTCATCTAAAATAATTGTATTTTATAAAAATATTATATAAATATAAGATATAATTATTTATAATCATAATACGCGGGTACTCGCGGATATCCGGTTTTAAAAATTCTATTATCCGGATTTGGATCCGGATTCACGGGTATTGAAAAATAAGGATTTGGATTCGGATTTGAAAATTACGAGTACCCTAAAATCGGGTATCCGTGAGACGAGTATCCGACGGATACCCGATTTTCGGGTATTTGTGCCCAGCCCTATAAGGTACCATATTTTTTCATTTCGTGGAAAAGAAGAATATTCCTATGAAAAAACAAAACAAAAATACGATAAAGGAATAAACTTTATTCACTATTTTCTTGTTTTTTTTTTTATAATTGGGTGTTCCCAAATCCAAAGATCCAGATTAATCCCGATCCATGCGCACGACTCTATAATACACACATAGGATGTAAAACATCCGAAGATGACAGGAGGAGAATCTCCATACTTTGGGTGTTGAACTCATAACCTCGTTTACGCGTGGAAAATATTTATGTCCAGATTAATTGACTACATTTTTTTAGAAAAAAGTTTCCTCGTAAATCTAAACGTCTAATTCGATATATTGCTTTTTTAATTAAAAAAAAGTCAAACTACTTTAATTATTTTCCACAAAATAATCGATTCATTTTGGAGGAAATTCAAAAAAAAAATAGTTAGATATAATAAAGAATTAATATTTTCACATTTTTATATTTTGGAAAACATATTTGTTAAATATCACATCCATACGTCATGGTTGACGCACAGTTCTGCTATGTTTGTTTTCTTTCCCACCTAATTCTTTTCCCAAATATTGAAATTATGGAATAAACTAGAAAGATATCTGTACAATTTCAGAAATTGTTTTTATGTGCTGAATGAATTAATTCACGGTTCCTTTATTTTCTTTACCCGGAGCTTCCGTAAATATTATTCTTTTTCACATTTTTGCAAATAGTTTCCTTACAATTTTCTTCCATTTTTTTTTGGTAAACCCCTTACAATATTAAAAAAAATATATTTCTAAATAAAATATAGGGTCAAATTTAATTATTTATATCACTAGAAAGCAATATAGGTACAAGATTTGATTGCTATAAATGGCTAATTAAGACCAATTAATCAAATTAACTTCTTTTTTTCGTTTAGCTAATAAAGAAAGTCAAAAGGTCACAACGCTTGACAGTAGGATGGTCAGCTCAGCCTCCCATCCATCCATACGCACGCACGCACGAGCGTGTATATATATATATATGCGTTATATATATACACTTTTGCTCTCTCTCTCTCTCTCTCTCTCGATTTTCTTCATTCTCCATCTCGGAGAGTCACACCTTCAACAGGTTCGGTCTTTAATTTTCTTCTCCATATTACAAGTGAATCTATATATGTATATATGTATGCTAATATGTATATTTGTATATCTCTCTCTCTCTTATTGTATCTCACGTGTCGATTCACGTCATTACAATAGCTATGAACCCACTCCACAATTCAAAACCTAACGATATATATAAAGAATGGAACTTTTTTATTTAAATGTGTTATATATGTATATATGTACGTTTTTAGTGTATGAATGCATGTGTTGCAGAGCAAGATGGCGAGGGTGAGATTGGGGAAGATGATGGAGGGCTTGAAATCGAAGATTAAGTTGAGTTTGAGGATGAAAAAGAAGGCACCATCATCATCCTCATCATCATCATCATCATCATATGATAAGATAGAGAAGAGTGAAAGCATGAGGGTTGAATTGAGAAGCAGAAAAGCTCATAAGATTATCCAACAAACCCTCCAGATTGCTGACTCTCCCACCACTAGAACTTATGCTTTTTGAGTTCTACTTACACATATACACTCTTACATATCATGCATATATATATACACACACACATATGTAATGTGTTGTATCCCTTTGACAAACAAAAAATGTGTTGTATCTGTCTGTCCATATATATATATGGATGGGTGGATGTGGGTGTTATTTCATCCTTGTGATCAAAAGTGTAAAACATCTTAATCCGAAATGAAATTTCAATGTCTTTGATATTTGACGTTTGTCTGTTTCGTGTTTTTGTTGCTTACAATGTATTTTTCAACCTCTTTATATTTCTGCTACCAACTCATTCGCACAACCCTTTTTTCTGCGCTTAAGACAATTTTTTTTTGTCTACTTTGCATTTTTATAAACAATTCTACTGATGTAGGCCAATATATATTGTGGGAGATTGGGATATATACATATATATACCATACATATATATATATGTATGAACTTGTTGACAAGCGGACAGCGACAATTAGAGGAATGGTAATTTGGACATTGCCTAATCGACTTTTCAGTGGCTAAAAGGGTTTCATACATAAATAGGTTTCTTAGGTGAGGTGAAAAGACACCCACGATATATATATATATATATATAAAAGCACAAAGCCTCTTGTCCGAATACAAATTTTGTAGAGCAAAGATATTCGCCATTTGAGTAAATAAAATGCACAAAAAAACATTGGCATGAATCCAAGTTTCAATTATAATTCAATTCAATTTGAAGATTCGAGATTTCTATATTGACTGAATTGAAATTAATGGACCATTTTTTTCCTTCTAAAAAAGCCATATCCCCCCAAATTTTATTTCATGAAAAATCATCGCAGTTCCTAGATGTCCAAGCAAAGATAAAAGTCTCTCCCATAATGATCAAATTTATCAACCAAAACTGAATTTTGTAAATGTCCATTTTATATGTGTCTAGAAACAGAGCAACATAATAATGGCGAAAACTAGGAAATGCAGAAATAGGGAGAGAGAGACATTAAATGTGTCAATTTTTTTCACCTTTTTTGTTAGTCAGATAGAAACAAAAAGTGTTTTGGAAATTTTGTATGTAGGGATATTTTAGACTTTTTTGTCTAAAATGTAGTGTACTAGTTGTAAAAAAAAATTGAGCACTTTGTTTTAGTTGTGTAACATTGAAATTAATGCGACGCAAGTCAGTAAAAATTCTCCGCCGCTGTAAAAAATCCCCCAAGACGGAGAAAGAATGCGGCCACAGAAATGATAAGGGATGGATGATAAGAGAGGGAGCTGATAAGAGAGAGATAAATGACAAGGGATGGCTGATAAGAGAGAGAGCTGATAAGAGAGAGATAAATGATAAGGGAGAGAGAATAAAGGAGGGGAAACTAACTGTAACTGGTGAATCGGATGTTATAAAAAACGCTGGTGGCATTAACAAGTAACAACTAATCAACCATTCGCCATCTGAGATTCGGCTCAAGAAGTTTCTTCAAGACTGGTAAGATTCATATTCATATTCTTAAACTTTCATGAGTTCATCGCTTGATTTCAACATTTTTTCTTCAATATTTACATCTAATTATTTTTATTTCTAGATGGAGAGAGATTTTGACCTAAATCTAAAGCCCCAAGAACATGAAAAGAACAAAACTAGAGGAAAAGTGACGGTTAAATTTTGGAATTTAACCCAGTACGTTGACTTTTTTTCTTCTATGTTATCTCAATCTTTTTAACATTCATTCTGTATCTACAAAAGTATTTCTTTTCAGAAAATCGAAAACGAATTTGATGGAGCACCTGGGTAGATGGACCAGAGAAGAAAATCATCGACTTTTTCCAAAATCCGAGGTATTTTTCCAGGAAAATATTAATATAAGTAATATATTTTATTAACTATTGAGACTACCGGTGGCATCTCGACCACATATTAGAGGAAGAGGAAGAACTGCCCGATTTTGCGGAACGTATGAATACTTGAAACCCAAAATGCATATACTATTTTGCAGGACACTTTCTTTCGCTTTGAATCGTTTAGCTCAGATTTCAAGTTGTCTTCCCGCTTAAAAGAGCGGCTTAGATTGAACTGAAGAATCTGGAGTTTTCCAGATAGCTCTTTTGAAATTCCCTTAAAGACTTGGGCAGCGTTATCTGCCTCGAATATACGTAACGTGGGTTTCGTCGAAACGTACAACGACTCTAACATGGATAGTACTATTCCAGTTCGCAGAAACAGATCAAACAGGTAATTGAACGTAGCAGCTGAATACCAGAAAAGCATATCGGAACCCTAACCCTAGATCGAGGTAAGAACTTCCGCATTGATAATTTCATAACCGTCTAGAGAAGAATAACGATGAAACACGAAGAAGAGGAAGGAGGGAGAGAGAGTGAGAAGTGTGTTATAGTTGGTTCTGTATTCTCCACTTTATCCAATATGATAGAATAAAAAAATATATAAATATATTAGAATTAAAAATGGATTATTTTTACTTTTTCAAAATTATTTTGAACAAATTTACTTTAGAATTCAATATTAATTTTAACAAAATATTAGCTCAAATTGAATTCAAAAAATCATAGGATAAAAAATTAAATATGAAAATAATAACCAACGGAAGAAACCTGAATTTCAACCGTTTATACTATAGCTTTTTTTTTCCTTCCCAGTCTACTATCAACTCTTCTTCATCCTAATTATATGGTAGAGTAGAGTTGTACTACATCACACGTTTTCAGGTAGTTATCATCATAATTATATGAAAATATAATATTTTGTTAACTCTTATTATACGTAGAAAAAAGTACTAGGGTAGGATATAATTATTCGAGAAAAAATAACCAAAATTAATCCATAATGAAAAAAAAAACAAAAAAATCTATGGTCTCCTAATCAAAAACGTAGAAAGTGGAGACCAGGAGGGAGAGGGATGGGATCGAACCAGGGAGGGAGCACAAACTGGTGAAAATGAATCCGGTGAATAGTGAAGGATCCATCAAACATGGCGTAGCGTTGATAGATGTACTTCATATGCTTCGGACAGTAGTTGAATCTAACGATGCAGTTGCAGTTATGATCGACGGAACCGGATTCCGTCTCTCTGCGAGTCGTGAACCGGTGGGTCCCCAAGTTATAGGAGACCAGAAACTCCTTCTCCACGCTCCACAGGTAGATGACGTCATCCTTCAGTGGATGCATGGCGACCGGGAAGTAATCCAGACCGAGATCGACGTGGTGTCCGAGGTTGACGCTCCACTGGAGCTTCCATCCCGTCGTGTA